CACAAAAAACGGCCAGGACTGTAACTTTCGAATTATTCGAGATAGGGTTTTGAAAATTAGTAGGCAGCTAGTATACCAAATCGCTCATTGATCGACGGAACAATTTTTGTTTTATCACTTCCGGTTTTACTAGAAACAACCCCAACTTTTGATTTTTGAATAAGTATTGTATTCTATAATCGGTAATGGATTGTCATGACGAATTCATCGATACCGGGTTCAATAGGGTTATTTCAAACGATTACGCAGATATTCGCTTTCTAAGTCTCAATATCCTCAATGAGTGTGACAGAGAAAGAAGTGTTGATATTGCGAAGTCACACCCATTGAGCATATGGAAACGCAAATATATCTTTGTAATCGTTTGGAATAACCCTATCGAACCCGTAATGATAATCCCTAACCGATAATCGTATATAACACAAGGTGTCCTATTCAAAAATCAGAAGTTGGAATTGTTTCCGGTGAAATTGGAAATAATAGAAGAAACATTCTTTCATCAATTAATGGGCAATTTGGTTTACTTGCTACCCACCAATTTTCAGAACCCTATCTTGAATAATTCAAAAGTTACATCAGTCCCGGCCGTTTTTTGTGCACTTCTCTGTATAGTTCCGAGTTATCTCGTTTCCTCCCATGGTTCTCATTTGTTCAACAGAAAATTCGTCTCCATCATCCAGAAACCTTATTTAAGAGACCTTTCAGCTATCTGTATAACACGGTTGGCTCAATCTACCCAATATATTCAAAGTTTAATGATACTCGGAATTCCACGTAGATAGAGAACCTTGTCAAGCGAATTGTCAAGAATTAAATTAAAATGTTCAAAGTTCGGTAAATTACGGCAGAAAACTATAATAAAACCAAGGGAATGGTGATCCCTACAAACTCCAGTAACTCCACACATTCCCTATCTCTACTTCTACTTCTCGAGAGGGTTCCGCTAAATTATAACGTACTTATTATGGTGAAATTATTCCAAATATAACTCATTTAACGAGGTAGACATTGTTTGAAGGCAATGAATAAAAATGTTGGTCACAATATGCTTATTGCTCATATCTTTTCGCTGTGATGATCTTCAGATATCCTATTTTTACTTCCATCAGAGATGAAAAATCACAGGGTGATGCTTCTAGCTCAGTGGGAGAGATGAATGTCTTTTGAACTAACCAGTAGTTCGGAAGTTTCACTATTTCAAATCATACCGTATCACGAAAATCTATCTTCCAGAAATTACTGTTCCATATACGATGTTCACCAGAAAAAATTCAAGATCCGTATGTCTAGTTCTGATATGAAATGTTTACTAAGGAAAATGGACCCCCTGATTCGGAAATCAACTCAACTTTCTGTTGCAATTTCTTGCGATAAACCGTCCACACCAACAACAACTTGTGTTTAGTTTCTGAATGTCTGCGTGTGTTTCACATTTTCCTTTGATCTTCACCGCTTCAAACCGAAACACACAACAAACGTCAACATCTTGTTCACCACGACATAAGCAATATGCAACATAGTACAACAAATAACAACAATATGCAACATAGTATGACTCAACATGTTGTTGTTGCAGTAAGTTAAACTATGTTGATTTGGTGAAAACATATACCTTGAGGATTTGAATTCGTGTGTTCTTCATGAAATGAATTATTCCAACCAATGAAATTTGACTCTCAAACCTCTTCTGTGAGCATTGATCGCAAAAGAAATATTACATGATGTTTCAAAACAAGCCGTCAGAAGTATTGCAGAAGATTCTAAATCACCCAGAGTCGTGCTTTACATACCGAACTAAAGAAAGGAAATACATGTTCTCGGTGGTCCGTTCATTTCCTGTGCAATGAATCTGTCTGGAAATCGCAAGGCAAATTCTGGAAAGCTTCCACGGTGCAAAAGCACGGACATCAGACCAGACCGTACAGATATCTCCTTCGGGGAAATTCAACGGGGAGTGAAGCATACCAATTCCATGATTGTTCTTTCGAAACTATTCGTTATACCAACACATAAACAAACTACATTATTAGAACTATGCCCCAGAAGGACAATAAATATACGTAGTTGGAATCCTGGACGGTCATCACCTTTGGGGGTATGATTATTCAATATAGGTTTTATTATGCAGTTAGCTTTGGAATCGGCAACTGCTTCATCTTTGATTAGAAAAATCTTTTTATAAAACATTAGTGGCGCTTTTCATCATGCCCTAGATCTGATTACTATGAAAAAAATCGGAATTGTTTCTGAAGAAACTCTTATATAACTGTTGTTCAAGGCCACAGGAAGTAACAATAAAATATGTTCATAATATATTTATACAAGAATTATTAATATCGCCGGAATCACATGAGAGCATCAATAAAATGATCCTACTTAATAGGCAGAGAAGTTTTATTAGACGAAATTCAATATTCATCTGAAATAATCTAGTTATGTTCTATTCCAGCTATGATAACACTTCCGAGATGAATTGATAAAACACCCTAGATGTCAAAAACAGAATTGTTTTCATAGTTGACTCAATAAAATGAAAATTCATTTTAAAAATATCAATAAAATAGCTATGAAATTGAATTATCACAGATCTGTCGAATTATAGAATAACATTGCTGGTTGGACTGCTATAGGTGCTCAAATTCCATCACTGTAACAATAAGGTTGAAACGTCATAGTCTGAGAACTGACAACAAATTCCAATTTTGGATCAATAGATCGATATTTTTCACCTTATTATACTACCGTTACATTATTAAGAACTCATCGGGATGTCTGGCAGGATTTCAGTGGTGGAGGCAGCCGTGGTATGGCCGTGAAGGGTTGAAAAAATCAATGCAACGTACGCAATGCAACGAATTTTTGTGGAGTGGTAGCCAGATATTTTTAATAGAAATCATGCCAGACACATTGAGTGGTGAAATTATACTGACAGACGGCGTCAAAGGTGCGTGAAAACGGTATTCCATTTTTGTTTCTCGCTATGAGACTGACCCTGGGGTCACCTAACCTAAAATTATTTTCATATCGATTGTGTGTTCAAATTTCGGAATATCGGTAGATGATGAGTTTTTTTTTAAATGAGACTCAGAATTGTATTCCCGAATGCACCATCAAATATGCTACTCAACTCTGCCTTGTTTTTTGTATTTGTCTATTTGTTCATGTGATCCCACGGTAGCAAAGTCATCCAACTATTTTCGTGAGAAAAGGATTGAATAACGAACTTTTCCATTTGCCCATCGGAATGAGATAAACTCACACGAATAGAGTCCAAGATGTGTTTTATTCGTTCCTACAAAATCAGTTCGAAATATTGAACACTCTTTCAATGATAGATGGCAAACTTGACGAAATCGAATAATATGCACATGTTAAAAAGGATTTCCCCAATCATCAAATCCATTTTCTTGAAATTAAACTGCCTCGTACAAGAATTTTTCAATTGAATGGAGCAATATAGACTCGTCTCAAAAGTATCGGCTTGCTTGCTTTGTTTCTTGAAATTCCTTGAATTTAATTTTGCTCAACATAAACAGTATATTTCCTTATTCAAGAAAACCGCGACTACATTGTGACATAAATTCCAATTTATATGGTTTCAAGGAAATCTCTGCTTGTCTTGCAGTGACGTATATACAGCGGTACGCCTGCGCCCATTCGACTCCTCAGTCGTTAGCCACCATTCGTCATTGCTGCTGTCTTGTGAAGACGGTGCAAAACACCTTTGTTTTTCAATGGTGAAGTGTTAATTTGATGTTAAAAATTGTCATTCTGCGCGATCCGTGAACAAACTGACTCATTATTGATACGTTACTAATATGAATAATATTTCAATGAAGCATTCTTGATTGAAACACATTTAGGAAATTCAACAATATTCTTGAAGGAATTATTCATATTACATTTGTATCTCCATCTTATTCGCATCTTTATGCATTGCTGCTTCATAAGAACATTTCAAAAATACGTATTCAATTTTGTTGGACATTGATGCAAAAATCAAATTGTTTCCATCAAATGAACAATTATTGTTTTCTAAAAAATCAAATTTTAGCGGAAAGGACAATATGCAGATACAATAATAAAAAGCGAATAGGATTTATACCTGAAACCGTTTACGTAAAAAAATTTGAATGATAATGAAGTTTTGTACAGGTCGAAGTAGGAGACTAAGTTGTTCAGTCACCTGAATTATTTTTATTGTGTCATCAAGAGCCGCCTTCTGCCATGGAGTTATCGAAAGTACTCAGTGAATACTTTCTGGAGCTCTGTTTGCAAATTTCCATTCAGTTATGCAAAATGAGATGGAATCGCCTTATGTCCACGAATGAAATCCATCAAACGACTATGAATGATACAATTTCCATTATGTATTTCATAATAATTCTATAAGACAGCTCTGAACACTGTAATTGATAAATGATAAATCATTATTGAATAAGTAATTACTGATATCTCTCGATGAATATCTGCATTCCACAAAGTTGTACATGATAGTCAATGTAATGGATATGCACGAATTGACGATATAATTGAGACCACTTCAGATTCTTTGTACGTACCTAGTTGAGCAACTACTATTTAAACACCATAAATGGTATCTACTGATAATAACAATGTTTGCTCAGAATATGTGAAAGAATGTGGTAGCGTTACGAAAACTGTGGATTCATTGTAATAAATCATTTTGGAAGCACAGTTTATATAAGAAAAATAAAAAACAAACATATTCTTGTAGGAGATTGAAGGACTCCCATTATCACCATGGAAGATGCAATGAAGTAGCAGTGCCATTAATGAGAAGTGATTTGATTATCTCAATTCAATTCTTATGCACATTGTATTTGGGCATGACTATTATATTTAGGCTTTCCTAACAGGATTAAAGAACCATAAATCGTCATAAATCTTTCTCGATATAATCTACGCCAGTAATATCGATTCTACTATTTGGCTGCTATAAATATAAAAATGGATCAATTCTAATCAATCATTAATTAACTTGAGAATCCGCTACATCAACGAGTCGTGAGAATGATCACCAAAGGTTTATTTTTTTTCGCACTCCTCTACCTTTGTGAAAGTTTTTTCACACCCAGTTCGCTCAAAAAACATGGTACCCCATTCACTGGATATGCTGGAGAACCTCTGATTTTGACTCCTCTGATCAGAGAAAACAAGATTCGTGAGGCTCGAGTTGCAGCAACAGTGAATTTCGAAGGATTCCTAGGCATCAAGAGCTTCTCTGGATACCTCACAGTGGACGAAATCTACAATTCAAACTTATTCTTCTGGTTCTTTCCATCTCAAAACGATTACGAGAATGACCCAGTTCTGTTGTGGCTCCAAGGAGGACCTGGTTCTCCATCCATGTATGCCGTATTCCAAGAACATGGTCCATTCGTCTTCAAAGACGAGAACACCCTGGGATTAGCAAAGGAGACTTGGACAAGGAACCATTCTGTCATCTACATCGATAGTCCTGCAGGTACTGGTTGGAGCTACACTACAGGTGGTTACGCCCAAAATCAGACTAAAGTCGGAAGAGATTTGCACGAAGCTCTACAACAATTCTTCACACTCTTTCCTGAATTAGTGAAAAATGAGTTCTTCATCACTGGAGAGTCTTATGGGGGTAAATACGTACCAGCTTTAGCTTACACGATTTTGAAGCAGAGAGGGCTTGCAAAAGTTGAAATCAATCTCAAAGGTTTGGCAATTGGAAATGGAATGAGTGACCCTGAACATCAAATCAAATATGCAAACTATGCTTATCAACATGGTTTCGTTGATTCTACGGTCAGAGATGCAATGGCTGCTCTAGAAGAAAGAGGTGAGATAACTTCAGCTCTCTATATCCAAATCAGTAACATTTTAAATGCCTAATAGCTTCCATGAGACTTCAAAGGGGTTATCTAATTTGCTATACCGTTTTATGACTGCCCTGGAAAGAGCAAATTGGCCTTCATGTCCATGTAATCCTATTGAAAGGTTTTGAGATAGAAGGTTGTTTCATTGTTTTAATGATATCCTCCTAGTATGATAGTTTTGAAAAGGCATTTTAAAATAGGCTGAAACAACCACCTGTAGCTAACAATAAAATTGATAATGTTCTTTGGGTATTGTGATCTTCGATCTGATATAAATTATTTTCACAGCTGTTGAACACATCAGAAATGAGGAGTATGTTGAAGCAAGTGACCTGATGAACCAAGACTTTGGTGGCGAAGGCTCGCTCTTTTACGATGCCTCAGGCATCTCTAACGTCTACAACTATTTGAACGCTATCGATGATGGTATAGGAGATGCTATGATGGATAAATACTTCAGTAGGGCTGACGTCCGTGAAGCCTTACATGTTGGAAGTACCACATTCGGTGATGAAAACGTCTACGCCAATCTCGAGTACGACATACCCAAACCAATCACAAGTTGGGTGGCAGAACTGCTCAGTCACTATCGAATCCTCTTCTATAATGGTCAGTTGGACATCATAGTGGCTTATCCCATGATGGTGGAATATTTGCAGGCTCTCAACTTCAGTTCGGCTGAAGAGTACAAGGTGGCTAATAGGTATCAGTGGTATGTGGGAGATGATCTAGCTGGTTACGTCAAGTATGCGGGTAATCTAACGGAGGTTTTGGTCAGGAACGCCGGTCACATGGTACCTGCTGATCAGCCAGTATGGGCCAGTGATCTTATCACCAAGTTCACGAGGAACAAGGTCATACACTTGTAGAAATATGATTGAAATAGCTACTCAGGAAGTGGAAGTGGTCTTGTATATAATTAAAAAACAGTTGAGCATGAACAATATTTTTGTGTTTTTTTCGATTCTATTCTGTTTTTCGAAAAACAGCAAGAATAAACTACCCCTCTGAAGGGGTGGATCGAAATAATTTCACTGGTGGCATCTATATATCTATATGAGATATTCAGATATGTGATTTGATGCAAAAATTCGAACCAGAAGTGCTCGGTCAGCAAGGATTTTTGACTGCAAGAATAAACTACCCCTCTGAAATGGTGGATCGAAATAATTCCACTAGTGGCATCTATATATTTATACAAGATATTCAAATATTCAATTTGAAGAGAAAATTCTAATCAGAAATGCTCGGTCAGTATACTTTAATTTTGTTCAGCAAATTATACACCCCCGTACAAAGGTCTATGCATTCCAACACATATCGATCCTATGTCAGCTACTAACCATCGCCTCTCACCGTTGCTGCTGTAGTTGATCGGTCGAATCTGTCAAAGAGATCCTCGTAAGCGAACACACTTCCGGCAAGCCAATGTGGCGTGCCAACGAACCGTTTCCGGGACGCCTTTTCGATTCGTCCTCCGGGTATACAGAGTGTCCGAAAAGGTCATGTCGTGAATGATTGGGCTGATGAAGTGAGCCTAAATAATGCTAGTACTTCATTTAAAGAATGTCTCACACTTCGTCCCGCCAGAGTTATTGATAGTTTCTGCAAGTCCATACATCACACGTTGAGAACAATAGTGTGACAACTCGGAAAAATTGTATTTTTGAGTTAGAACCACCGTCGGATAGCGAATTTCGAGCTCTACACTTCTAGAGTATCGTGACATCTCTAAGTCCAATAGCTACTGCGTGAAATTGCTGGTCACGTTATTGCACTAGAGGAGAAGTAGGTACTACAGCCGAGCAAGAAGGTGACTTTTGGCGTTGTCACCTAAACTTCGCAGGATACGCCGCGTATTCTGAGGAAATTTTCATGATAAATAATGTGACAAGTCAATATTGATTAAAAACAATTTGGAATTTTCTGAGTTTTCACGTTTTTACGTTTTCATCAATAAATAAAATAATGAAATGGATGCAACAAATTTTCGAGGTGTAATGTTAACAATATGGAATATTTCGATTTGTCACATTATTGCATGCGTTGCACTCAATGAAATGGAGTGAGTAATACGAGCTCTCGCAGGAAGATTGAAATAATATATAATAATAATAATAAAATAAGAAGAAATGAAAAAACGAAATACAAAACTAGAATGAAACTTTCGAATGTATGTGATTTCAATATTTCTCTTTGCATGGATTTTCAAGCTCCACCTTATGTTTAAATTCAAATTTCGAAAAATATATAATAATTTCTTCGGATTAAACATTTGGAAAAGTGTGTATTCGAAATAATTCCCAAGAATGAATTTGAATTAAAATTCCATTCATGATAGGTATTTCTTTCTTTCAGAAAATTTACCTATACCTTATTCGTCCCTATAGTCACTTTTTTTTCCATACTATGGCATTTCAACTTTATGCGAATCTTCAGTGAAACCTATTGCTATTAAACTCAAAATTTGTCTTCTGCGAATACCCGTTTGTTTCTATTCAGGAACTGAAGAAAATAGAAAAACTACCCAAAAAGGAATGTTCAGCAACCGAAGGGCACGATTTGGATTCTGCTGAAATGATAGGTTTTCAGAGCACATCTTCAATAAATCCAGTCATGAATATAATTTGGTCTGAAAATGAAGAAAAATTCCTATGTTACATGTTATACGGCAATTTTTTGAGTTGTAACATCTCAGAAAATTGTTGCTTTTCAATTGGAAGTGAAAATTCGATATTTCCTCAATATATCTCTATTTCTTCTCTTCAAACAATTTTTCAAACATAGTGTCACTGATCACTGATAAGCCATTCAATTTTTCTTTTAGGCTCACTGATGAAGAAATTTGTGAGACGCAGTGACATTTTGGGGCAAATCATCTGTTCCTGATTTGTCCTACTACACATATATTGAAATAGTAATCATATTTTTATTTTACAGAAACGAGGAGAGAAAATCCCGAAAAATCAAGTGAAAAAGTATGAGTTGTTTCAGTTGCTCGAATATTATTGACACCATCATGGCAACCGCTCTGAAATTATACATGAAATATATTTTCTGTATTCAATTTTCCAAAGTCACTTCATATCAAGTACTGACATCACCTTGACTCACTCAATCAACACAATCGTTTACGACATGCCCTTTCCGGTCACCCTGTATGCAGGGACAGATCATTGTCTTGCTGTTTCGTCCGCAAAATTTATCGTGTCGATTAATTTCTTGCGACGCGTTATTGGCTGCCCAACGTGTTATCGATTGTTTCCTCTGGGAGATGTATATCTTCACTTTTGATGGACTTCCTGATCTAGTCGACGAAGTGTCACAAGAAATTCGTTCACACTTGTACTGCACCAAACCACAGTATATTATCCTACTGTGACCAAACTGAAGCACACATGAAATATACAGTGAGGACGTAAAAAGTCCTGCCCATCCCCCTACCCCCCCTGTAACCTTCGAACGGAACAAGCTAGCGAGGTCGGGTGAAATGCAGGCAAAAAGGTACTGATTTCACTACTATTTGGCATGAAAATGGTTGTGGTCACGTGACCTAGTGTCAAGTGGGCTCATCAACTTCGTTTTTCGAATACAAAGAGGGTTCACGTGGTACCTTGTTTTGAGAGCCCTTCGATTCTCTATCCAACACCATTCCGATTGTACAAATCGGCCAAGTCGTACCAAAATGACAAGGGTATGTAATTCTCTTCAAATATTAATAGTAATGATTGAAACCGATTTGCACAAACAAAGCGAAGTTGGATAGAGAATCGAAATGCCTTTAAGTTACCACGTGACCTCTCTCCATATATGAAAAAAAAAGTTGATGGTGCCCACTTGACACAAGGTCACGTGACCAAAACCATTTTAATGCCGAATAGTAGTGAAAGAGATACCTTTTTGCCTGAATTTCACCCGACCTCGGTAGCTTGTTCCGTTCGAAGGTTGAAGTGGGGGGAGGAGTTCCTATTACGTCCTCACTGTACAGAATTGGGGTCAGACGTTATGAGAATTGATAACTAGATGAGATGATAAGATTTAGGAAACAAAGGATGTCCCCTGTTGGTCCTCAAGTGGGACATTTGTGCGTCCCACAGACGTCCAATGGACGTCCACGGTACCAAATTCGACGTCCTATGGACGTCCTGAATGTCCCGACAGGGCGTCCTAAGGATATCCATGGGACATAAGTGTGTTATTAGGCTATTAGGGTATGGACTGATTGAAGCAGAATAAGCAGGAGGGTGGAACAACAGCGAATTTGTTCTAAAATTGTTCCTATCCATCATTCGATTCTTCCTTACGAGCAACGGCAGTTCTACCTTTCAACGTGTGATCCCAAACACTCTCAAGAGTGTAGTAGTGGCATCAAAGCTTGATATCTACTTGCATCGATATCAATTCTTCTTATTCTTCATGATATTGTCGCACGGATATTCGAGTTATTCAAGTTAACTGTCGTGCAGAATGATATCAAGATCATATAAGAATACAACATTGAGTGGGAAGCTGCGAATGAAATGGAGCAAGACACAAACAGTTAACTAAATCTCCTGGCTATCAACACCAAGTTGACGAATTCTCTTGAACAACCATTTCTGAAAACCACTATGCTGTTGTTAATTTACTGAAAGCTGTCCCGGGTTATGAAGAACACACTATACTGTACGCGATTTTACTGAATATACTGCACGCTAGCACAAACCACGCCCACCATAATACGTCATATCTCCAAACATTACCGATATACTCGGAGTCAGCACATCGCACTAAATATACTGTGCTCCAACGCAAGAATACACTCTTTATGATTTTGACACGAATTCGACATGACTGAAGCTCTCTCGTTACTGGTTAGCGCTGTCGACTTTCAGTCTGAAGGTCCATGGTTCGAATCGCTGTGAACTTGAATTTTTTTTGCAACTCTTTTTTTTTTCACCAATGTTTTTTCATTTTAGTTTTCTTTTTTCAGAAAATATTTGAAGTCAAATAGGTTAGTGCGTTCAGGCTGAAGAGTCTCATTTTATTCAATTTTGTTGAAGTACTTAACTTTTGAAATATATTATTATAATCAATGTGTTTCTACACTCCATTCGGTTTTCCTTCCTCCAAAATATTAATTACAATCAGGGATAGGTTATTTCGTTGAGGATAAATAGTCTCTGAGTTTTGCCTAAGTTTTTCGAAGATGAGATATTACGGTGGACGTGGTTTGTGCTAGCGTACAGTATATTTAGTAAAATCGCATACTGTACTCATAGTGGCTTCAAACTCGCATTAGCTGGGCATGTAAAATACTCAGAACACTTTCGTAACTGGGATCAATTTCGATGAAACCTACTCTAGCCACAGATGAAGACCTAATAACATGAGCTCCATGAATATCTGATGCAAGAATTCTAATCAGATCTGAGAAGAACATTTTATTCAGTAAAAATACACATGATCAATTGGCGCAGATTCAACTGAAGACATATCCCAAACGAATGCGATATCTCCCATCAAATCGACATTTTTCAACGAATTTTTGATCGAACACTTATTTTCCATACTCCTCGCTTACTTGTATATCAATATGCAACATTTTTGTGGCAGCAGCGGGGAAATTTCGTAGGTATCCATCGGAAATGCATTCCGGCGTGCATTCCATTTCCTGCAAGAAGCAGAGCATTTTTGTACGTATCCGAGAATATACATCACGATGCATTATGCATTAGGAACAGTCTCCTGCAGCGTGATTTCCACGTGTAACGGCAAAATATACACCAAGGAGATGTGATAAGAGTCACATCATAGCTCTGATAATTTGCATCAAGTTTGATAAACTGGAGGTGTATCAACGACATTCATGAGCACAGAGTGCTTTATGCACTGAGAAAACATGATTTACTAAAGAATTTCTATATTTAAACGCCTTGACACGTGTTTCGCTAACTAT